CTGAAGACAGGACAGGTGTCTGAAGACAGGTGTCTGAAGATAGGACATGTGTTTTGAAGACAGGTGTTTTGAAGACAGGTGTCTGAAGATAGGACAGGTGTTTTGAAGACAGGTGTCTGAAGACAGGTGTCTGAAGACAGGACAGGTGTTTTGAAGACAGGTGTTTGAAGACAGGTGTCTGAAGCTGCAGCCATCGTGGGAGGTGCTTTCTTTGTTTTCAACACAAGAACTCTAAACATTCACTCTTTGTTTAAGTCAGGTCTCTGTGTAAATGAGTCCCGAGGCTCAATGACACTAACCTGTAGAAATAAAGGTTGAATGAAGGAGAACAATTTAAAAATGTTTCCTAACTTGAGTGAAGCCCAGAAGCTAAATGTGCTGACACGAGTTTTGTTGTTTCAGGTGAAGAATAAAGCTCCGGCTGAGGTCCAGATCACCGCGGAGCAGCTACTGAGGGAAGCCAAAGAGAGGGAGCTGGAACTTCTGCCGCCGCCTCCCAAACAGAAGATCACCGATAAGGAGGAGCTGAACGACTACAAGCTGAAGAAGAGGAAGGTGGGTTCACCACCACAGACACGTCCTCAGTTGTCTTGTGTCTTTACTGAATGAATCAACTGTCTTCTTGAAGGGCTTTGAGGACAACATCAGAAAGAATCGCACCGTCATCAGTAACTGGATTAAATACGCACAATGGGAGGAGAGCCTGAAGGAGATCCAGAGGTACCTGACTCCTCTGTTGCTGCTGTCTGAACACCTTTCACACTGGCTCTCTGTCCATCAACCTCCTGCAAAACTTCACTGTTGGTTTGGAAGGAAACCTGACTTTCATTCACATCCACCCACTGCTCCATGACATATTTTGCTAACAGGACCGATGAACAGAATTTCTACCTCTCATGTATCAAAATAATCAAGAGATGGAGGTCTGACTCTTTTTTTTTGTAACTTTTATACTTTTCAATATTAATTTTATTTACAATTTTGTTTATCCACCTTCTTCCTAGCCCCATGCTGCCTTGTGTGAATTACTGTAGTGACTTCTGGCGTGGACCCGAACCGGCATTTGTTTCTGTGTGAGCAGTAGAGCTAATGCAGCTTCTCTGGGCATGGTGGATTTAAAGGTGTAGGAACACCACCTGTCGGAGCTCAAACAGAACAATACACCGTAACTGTCGGGCTACAGAACGCACCTGTCTCTGAGCCGTGCGCACTCGATTTAAGATGAATCATCATTTTGTACATGAATAAGATGCTGTGGTTATAAAGCCGCAGGTATCCACTGTTCATGTGACCCTGCCCAGCACCGCCGTAACGTGCAGCTCTTCTTGTTCCAGTTCAGCATTCAGCCAGTGATGGCGCTCGCAGACTAAAGCTTGTTTTCAACACAAACGGCACGATGTCCCATAACTCTCCATGAAGCTTCACTGTCTGACTCATGGTTGAAACCATTCAACCTGCAGAAACAACACAGGAACGATGTGAACACAACCGCTGCACAGAGCCAAACCCCACGGAACTGAAAGCATTTACAAATTATGTACCGGTACATTTTACCCAGAAGTCTTGTCCAAGTCACGTGACTGGTAAAATATGGTAAATATTCAATTAGTACCATTGATTTTTATTATGAAACTCTTTTGGTAACAACTGCTGCTTTTAAATGTACTTTTTAAATAAATTTGACTTGATTTCTGCTCAGCGGAGCCCGGAGGGGGAGGAAGGGGGAAGAGCCCCTTCCATCGTCTCCTCCTTTCTGTTTAATGGCCCGTTTAAGCTTAAATGAGACACCGGTATTTAAACACATATTTACCGTATACAGGAAAATGTCACACAAAGAATTTTAAAACTTTTATTAAAATATGTAGCAGACTTGATTGCTTTAAAAATCTATTTTGACGACTTCTGTTCAGCCCACGTCGTGACCCAGCAGGAGAGGAACATCCAGTTATATATATTTTTTTCAGAAACTTTAACACTGCTAAAAAACCTAAAAAGTACTGGTAGTCGACCAAAAGCCACTCATCCCTGTGTTCTTCATCCTCCTGTGAACTAAAGTCCCCGTCGAGGCTCAGTCATCACACGCTGCCTCTGTCTGCAGCTCTTTCTGTTTCCTTCTTTAACACACACAAATCTATTCACTTGAAAGCTGCGTCACAAGAAATTCTCCGTGCGTTTTCCATTATTGCTGAAAGTGAACAGGTCTGTGCATGAGGCGCAAAATACATAACTGATCTAAAGAAATTGATGCACGTCTGCCATGGGGGCTGGGTCCTGAGAGTACCTCATTGGTTGTTACGGTTAGACTTCTGGTCACATGATGACAGAGTGGGTGGAGTTATGGTAAGAAGATTTTTTTTAAAATAAAGAAAACTATTGATCAAAAAATAAGTACAAACAAGTATGGCATTTCATAATAGTGTAAATCTAAAAAGGGCATAGCAGAGGCGGACTTAGATATGGGAACATCAGAAGCAAAACTGATTAAAAGAATAATAAGATAAAATAAAAAAAGAAGAAAAAAACTACAACAAGGGGGGTGATATATATTTTGGGATTAGGATTAACATACATTAGTGGGCATTCAATAGTTCTCAGTCAGGTTATCTGGGTAGTTTCTTTTCTATAGAGATGCTTCGCCCTCTATCCAGAGGACTTCATCAGTCAGAGGACTTCCAGTAAACTGCTTCCCCACCAAGCAGTAAACTTCTTAAGTGGACCAACCAGTTTGTTGGAGCTAAGATGGTTTCTGGGGGCCGTCCTGTCCCTCGTCGACTCCTCCCAGGCAGGCACAGCGCTGTAGCATATTTAGCTGCATCTACTAGCATGTTTAGCTACATCTACTAGCATGTTTAGCTACATCTACAAGCATGTTTAACTACATCTACTAGCATGTTTAGCTACATCTACTAG